TTGTAGAAAAAAATGTTTATAAATTTTCTGTTTTATAAGAGCATAGCCTTTTGTAACACACTGGAAATAGTTTGTGACCTAGAATCTAGCAGTGTTAACTTAGATTTTCCTTTTAGGTAATTTGTTTTTTTGTTCAAAGGTAGTTGAAAATGGTTGTTGACTGGCTGACTTTAGCTGTTTATGCTTTTTTTGTTTAATTTTTTCTTTATTGATTTTAGAGAGAGAGAGATAGAAACATTGATGAGAGAGAACATTGATTGGCCGCCTCCTACTTGCCCCCAACTGAGGATTGGGCCCATTACCTGGGCATGTGCCCTGACTGGGTATTGAACTGGCGACCTCTTGGTGCATGGGTCGATGCTCAACCACTGAGCCACACCAGACGGTTGTTTATGCTTTTTAAATTGAATAACAATTCAATTGTGAGATTTTAGTTGGTACTCAAGAACATCTTTGACTAATTAAGTGAAAGTTAGTAAACTTCAGTCCTTATTTTCTTAATAGCTGGAAAATGCTATTTAATCTATTTATCCTCCCTGACTCTCTTTAAAAGGGAATATTTTAAAGAACCTAAATTATTACAAATGAAAAGAAAATTTAAAATGCCCCCTTATATAAGAAACACTACATTGAGCATTTGGAGTTAATTTAATTTAAATAGTGGTATCCTGTTCATTGATAATTAGCTTTCTTGAACAAGTTGGAATTGAAATAATATCCTAGAGATAGTTTTATCACATGGTTAAAAACATCAGCTTTACAGATACACAGATAAATCTCAACATTTTTGTTACCAGCACTGTATTTGGATTATTTAACCTCTTTAAATCTGTTTATTCATCAGTAAAATGGAGTTAAAATTAGTGCCTACCTCATGGGGGTATTCTAAGCATTAAATGCGTAATGCATGTGTTTGGCCATTGCCCCTGACACACAAAGTTTTAAAAAATGTTAGTTTGTTATTACAAAATATTAGGACCCAGAGCTTGAATCCAGATTGTGGTATAGTAAGTAGTTTTTAAATTGTCTAAGTTTAAAAATTCATTACATGCAAACTTTTCCTTATGTCCTTGTGCTTTTGGCAGAATGTAAATGCAAAAACAAAGTTCAGGGTCTCATGCATCCCAGATCTATGCTTTTTTATTTAGACTAGTCTAGTGAGTGGTTCTTAATAGTTTTTACGTTATAGACTCCATTATGAATCTAAAATCTTGAGTCCTCTTCCTAAGAAAAATACATGCATCAAAATTTTATGCACAATTTAGGTGGGTTCATGAGCTACTTTTTTTTCTTTAATTATTTTTTTAATTTATTGATTTTTAGAGAGAGGAAGGGAGAGGGAGAGCGAGAAACATTGATGAGAAAGAACATTGACTGCCTGCCTCCAGCATGCCATCTGCTGGGGACCCGGCCCACAACCTGGGCATGTGCCCTGACCAGGGACCAAACTGGCAACCCCTCGCTGTGTGGGTCGATGCTCAACCACTAAGCCACACCGACCGGACCGTGGGCTACCTTTTAATGCCCATCTATGGAACCCCTGTTATTAGAGAAAGAATTGATTTCAGCACAAAATTACTAGAGAGAAAATGGGGTTGGTTTAAATAATTTTGTATCCCAAAGTAAGTAAGACGAGGAAGGTGGCTGTACTTCAGAGGTTCCTTTTTATTCTAATGCCTTTATATCATCAAGAATTTTATGTATTACTTTGTTCTAGTAGTAGTAATGAAGTTACCAACCATGTCCCAGAAATTTTCAAGATCTTATTAGAAGCTAAATGTCGTTATTGTACTAGTGTAATAGAGGTACCAGAAGTAACATTATAGATTGCTTACTGTGTACCTGCAGGTTCCCTGCTGTGCACTTGATGTGTATGATTTCATCCATATGAAAGGAGTTCCACTCTTTTTTTTTTTTTTTTTTTTTTTTTATCCTCACCCGAGGATATTTTTCCATTTTTTGTACAGATAGAGTGGGAGGGAGAGAGAGAGAGAAACCTCGACGTGAAGGGACACTTCGAGTGGCTGCCACCCGCACGACCAACCAGGGCCGGGGACAAACTGCAACCGAAGTACGTGCCCCTAGCGGGAACCGAACCCGGGTCTCTCCGGACCGCAGGCCGACGCTCTAACCGCTGAGCCAAACTGGCCAGGGCAGGAGTTCCACTCTTTATTTCCCATTTTGCAAATAGAAAATCTCAAATTTAGGCTTAGATTTTGCTTGAAGTTACACAACTCTAAGTGGCAGAGTCTCTTTTCAAACCCAACCCTGTCTCTAAAGCTACATACTCTTAACTACTACACCGAATTACCAAAGGTAAAATGTTTAGTAGTACAGTGAAGTTCTGTCCCCTTATATCATGGTTAAAAGTAAAATTTCTGTTAACTTTTTTGAAGTAATAAATTTCGTGTCTTCCCTGCTTCCTCAAACTATATTGTAATTAATATCTCTGATATTGATATGTTATATGAAAAAAACTTGATAAGATCTCATAGATCTATTTTCTGAGATTTATTATGAAAATTTAAGGAAGCACTTTTTAATTAAAGGTTTGCTGTAACTTGGCAGTATATTATTTGAAGACATTAAACCAAAAACAACTGGCTTATTTGAGATTCCGTTTTCCAGTAGGCTTTGATCTGGACCAGCCAGGGTGGCAAGTAATAGGAAGTTTTTATTAATTATTTTCAGATGAGGAAATAGATTACTTAGATGGATTTATTATGAATATCCACAATTCCATTAACACTTTATTGTAAACTGAGGTAGATTACAAATAAAAATGACTTAGCTTAAATTAATTGATAATATTTTCTAACAGCATTTCTACTCTTTGTGCTTTGGCTTAAAATGGCTATGTACAAATTGGATTGTTTAAACAGTTTACTTCCTAATTTCCTCCCATTTGTAAGACTCACCATCTTTGGTTCTGCGTGCCAGTAGAAATGATCAAGGTGATTCTAAAAGGTATATAGAAATATAAATATCTAGAATAGCTAAAACAACTTTGAAAAAGGAAGACAAAGTTAGAAGACTAACACTACCTAATTTGAAGACTTATTAGGAAACTCCAGTAATCACAATTGTGTGATATTGACATAAAGGTAGAAAAATAGAACAATGGGACAGAATGTAATATCCAGAAATAAACCAACCCATATATAGATTACTAATTTTTTTTTTTTAAAAGAGATACAAAGGAAAGGTAATGCAGGGCAGAAAGGACAGGTTTTTAAAGAAATAGTGATGAAACAATTGGATATACATATGCAAAAACAAAAAAACTAAATGTAAAATCAAAAAGTATAAAACTTCTAGAGAAAAACAGGAAGAAATATTTTTGTCCCTGGCTTTGGCAAAGATTTCTTGGATATAACAATAAAATCAAGATCCATAAAAACAAATTAATAAATTAGAGTCATAAAAGGCAAAATTTCTGCTCTTTAAAAGACACTGTTGCCCTGGCCAGTTTGGCTCAGCGGTTAGAACGTCGGCCTGTGGTACAGAGAGGCCCCGGGTTCGGTTCCCGGTAAGGGCACGTACTTTGGTTGCAGTTTGTCCCCGGCCCTGGTTGGTTGTGCGGGTGGCAGCCACTCGATGTGTCCCTTCACATCGATGTTTCTCTCTCTCTCTCTTCCTTTCTCTCCCTCCCACTCTATCTGTACAAAAAATGGAAAAATGTCCTCAGGTGAGGATAAAAAAAAAAAAGACGCTGTTAAGGGTTAGGTTTAGGATTAGGAGAAGAAGAAGGAGAAGGGGGAGGGGAAGGGGAAAGGGAAGAAGAAGAGGAAGAAGAAGAGGAAGAAGACGAAGACCATACCAAGTGTTAGATGTGGAAGAACTGGAACACTTACATGATGCTGTTGGAAATATAAAAGGGAATAAATACTTCATTAAACAGTTGGGCAGTTTCTTAAAATGTTAAACATAGACCTACCATGTGTTCTAGCATTTCACTTCTAGGTAGTTACCAAAGAGAAAAGGAAATACATGTTCACATGAAGACTTATACATGAATATTTATAGCAGCTTTATTTGTGATAGTAAAAAACTGGAAACAAATGTCTATAACAGGTGAATGAATAAGATTATATTGTGTATCTATACAGTGCAATACTACTTAGCGATGAGAAGGAATGAACTGTTGACACGTGCAACATGAGTGAATCTCAGAATGATTGTGCTGAGTGAAAGAGGCAGACCAGAAAAAAGTATATAGTGTATGATCTATATAAAACTCTAAAATATGAAAACTAGTAACATAAAACAGTGAGTGGGGTGGGGGGAGAGGGATTGCTCATGTGCACAAGGAAACTTGGGACAGGTTTACTACTTTTATTGGAGAAGGTTCACAGGTATATACGTATGTCAAACCATTGAATTGTACATTTTATTTATTTTTTTATCCTCACCCGAGGACATTTTTCCAGTTTTTGTACAGATAGAGTGGGAGGGAGAGAGAGAGAGAGAGAGAGAGAAACATCGACGTGAAAGGGATACATCGAGTGGCTGCCACCCGCACCACCCAACCAGGGCTGGGGACAAACTGCAACCAAAGTACATGCTCTTAGCGGGAACCGAACCTGGGTCTCTCCGGATCACAGGCCGACGCTCTAACCGCTGAGTTAAACCGGCCAGGGCGAATTGTACATTTTAAATGTTTGCAGTTTATTGTATGTTAATTATTCAGTGAAGCTATGTAATAATAAAAAAAAAGGAACACAGTTTTTTTTTGCCAAGATGTTTTGTGGTACAGTTTGAAATTGAAAAGACAAAGTGCAGTTGCAATAATAAAAACAATATCATCTAGTATTTGGACAAAGGGTTCACATAAATTATTATGTTATTGTAATTTCAGGCCTTGGGTAGTTGCCATTGGTATATTTAAAAATATTTTATTTTTTAATGTTGAGTGTCAGTCTGCATATGAACATAAAAGTATTGAGAAAAATGACATTTTTCCCTTCTTTTCCCTCCCCACCGGCCGCTGTTTTAAAAAGGAGTGACAGCTCTTTCAGATTCTTTGTATTCTTCTTCGTCTATATTTGTCAGTTTGCTGTACATGTACTACAGGCTGCAGGATTTCACAACTGGGGCAACTGGTAAGTCACGTGATTACTCAAGGTAATCTCTTCATCTAGTATCTTTATGTCATATTTAGCTTTCTAAAAATAGTTAACAGAGCCCTGGCTGGTTTGGTTCAGTGGTTAGAGCATTGGCCTGTGGTCCAGAGAGACCCGGGTTTGGTTCCCGCTAAGGGCATGTACCTTGGTTGCAGTTTGTCCCTCGCTCTGGATGGGTCGTGTGGGTGGCAACCACTTGATGTGTCCCTTTCACGTCGATGTTTTTCTCTCTCTTCCTCTCTCTCCCTCCCACTTTATCTGAACAAAAAATGGGAAAATGTCCTTGGGTGAGGATAAAAAAAAAAAAGTTAACAGAGAAAAGCTGAATTAGCAAAACTAAATAAATGAAAGTTAAAATTGTAAATTTTAGTATTTAATTTTGTAATTCATAACCTTTGGGCAAACTATTCTATTTGAAAATCATATTCCCATATTTAGAAACAGCATATTATATCTAGTTTAAATAAAATGTGTACATAATAGGCACTGAGAGGAAGAGTTAAAAGGAGACTGAGAAGTAATCAGATAGGAAGGCCAAGGATAATGGAAGGGAGAGAAAAAAAATTCAAGGATTTTAAGAAAAAAAGGGACCTATTATGTATACACTATTTTCGCTGTATAAATATGTTTTTGTATACATACATGTGCACATGGACACAGGTCTTTCAAAAGTGGAATCACTGCATACACATATGTACATACTTTTTTTTAAATTGAATTTATTATATTGGTTGATAAAATTATATAGGTTTCAGGTGTACAATTATATAATACATCATCTGTATATTGTATGGTGCATGTCTATGAGTTGTTTCTTTTCTAATCCCTTTACCTTTTTACCCAGCCCTGCAGCCCTCCTCCTCTCTGACATCTGTCAGTCTGTTCTATATGACTTTGTTTCTATTTTGTATTAGTATATTTTGTTCATTAGATTCCACATATGAGTGAAATCATATGGTATTTGTCTTTCTCTGACTTGCTTATTTCACTTAGTATAATGCTCTTCAGGTACATCCATTCTGTCACAAAGAGTCAGATTTCCCTCTCTTTCACAGCCGAATAGTACTCCATTGTGTAAATGTACCACAGCTTTTTTATCACTCATCTACTGGTGGACACTGAGCTGCTTCCAAATCTACACATATATCTTTAAGTAATGAAATTATTCTGAGCATGGCAAAATGGTCATTCAGTGGGGGATCCTCAGAAACAGACACTATTTGGACTCAGGCTAGGAATAGTAGCAGATTTATATCTCTCTTTATACACTCTGGAGCAAACATTTCTTGAGTGAAACGGTGGGTGAAAGAGTATACATCTCTAAAATTATCCCTCCCTCTTCTTTCTTTTATAATGAGTTACATACAGTTGAACTTTTATAAGCTAAAAGCATATATGAAGCAAATTTGCTGCACTGTGTACATAAACTAAAATGAGCATGTAACTAGAGTGTGTTGAGGACTTACATTTAGTATATTACTGCTGAACCAGAGTGGTGACTGGCAATCAGACAACTGTCAGTAGCTTTTCAGATTTCCTAATGGGCATATGTACGTGCAGAGAATTTATATTGATATTTTAAATCAGTTCTAGGAAAAAGTAGCGTTCATTATCATTTTAAATAGTGTTTAGTCTTTGGCATTTAAGGGAATGGAAACGTTTTAAATGTTTAATTAAAAAACACTGCTTATGTTAACAGCACACTTTTTTTAAATTATAAAATTGAAATAATGTCTTGCTTTTTAGCACAAACTTAGAAGTGTTAAAGTTGAGCACAACAGCATGTGTAAGAATGAAATAGCACAGGAGTCTGCTAGTGACGGTGCATATAGAATGACCTGTTTTAAGATGGACCTCATGTAATTCAGCAGATTAAAAAAAATTAAACTGTTTTGAGTTAATTGTAGATTCACATACAGTTATAAAAACATAAAGCAGAGAGACCCTAGGTATGTTTTACTCCATTTTTCCCAGTGGTAATATCTTGGTAAAACTATGGTACAATATCAAAACCAGGATCTTGACATTGATACAGTCAAGATAGAGAATGTTTTCATTACCAAAGAATCCCTCATGTTTCCATTATATAGCCACATTCACTTTTCTTCTGTCCTGATTCCCTCCTTAGCACTAGCAATCATGTACCTGTTTGTCATTTCTGTTATTTTGTCATTTCAAGAATTATATAAATGGAATTATATAAATCACATAATTATATAAATGTAATTATATAGTGTGTAACCTTTGGCTTTTTTCACTCAGCCTAATTAGCATAATTCTCAGGAGATTCATCCAGGTTGTTGTGTGTGTTAGTAGTTCATTCCTTTTTATTCTTGAGTAGTATTCCATGGTATGGATGTACCACAGTTTGTTTAACCAGAGTTGAAGGACTCTGGAATTTTTAGTATTTGGGCTATTATGAACAAAGCCACTATAAACATTTATGAATAGATTTTTGTGTGAACATGAATTTTCATTTCTCTGTGATAAATACTCAAGATTGTGATTGTTGGCTCATATGAAAGTTGCATGTTTAGTATTTTTTAAGAAACTGACAGACTGTTTTCCAGAATGGCTGTACCACTTTACATTCCCACTAACAATGTGTGAGTGATTCAGCCTCCACATCCTCCCCTCCTCACCAACATTTGATATTGTCACCGTTTTTATTTTAGCCATCCTGATAGTGTGTAGTGATAGCTCATTGAGGTTTTAATTTGTATTTCCCTAATGACTCATGATGTTGAACATTTTTTCATGTGCTTATTTGTGATCTTTGTATCCTCTTCATGAAATGTCTCTTCATGTTTTTTGCCTATTTATTTATTTTTAATGTTGGGCTTTGAAAGTTTTTTTTTTATCCTCACCCTAGGACATTTTTGCATTTATCTTGAGAGGGAGGGAGGGAGATATATATATACACACACATATATATACACACACATACACACACACACACACACACACACAGAGAAACATCGATGTGAGAGAGACACATCGAGTGGTTGCCACCCACCCACGTGACCCCAACTGGGGCCAGGGACAAACTGCAACCGAGGTACATGCCCTTAGTGGGAACTGAACCCGGGCCTCTCTGGTCCGCGGGCTGATGCTCTAACCACTGAGCCAAACCGGCTGAAAGTTCTTTATATATTCTGGATGTTAACCCTTTATTGGATATATGGTTTGCAAATATTTTCTTCCATAATTAAGCAGAATTTAAAATGAACTTTAAAAGAAAGTAATAATGAACTCCTAGGCTTAAAAAATATAAAATCTGGTGGTACACACTTAAGGCTGGAGTTTGAATTCAGTATTCCATTTATTAGCTATAGGACCTTGGGCAGGTACTGAATATCTCTGTAACTCAGTTCCTCACCTGTAAAATAGAGATTAAAAACAGCATTATCTTATAGGATTGTTGTGAGAATTAAATGAGTTAACATGTATAAAAAACATGAATGTTGCTTGGTGCATAAGAGCTGAATGTATGTTATTTGCTGTTGGTTTTTTAATTGTGCATTGATTTATTTGCCTAAATATACTTTCTGTTACTTCATAGTGGTTGGATTTCATCCCTTACTGGTCTCAATAAAAATATTCCTGTTGGAATCATGATGATAATCATAGCAGCACTTTTCACAGCATCAGCAGTAATCTCACTAGTTATGTTTAAAAAGGTAAGTGCAAGTTTATGTCTGCAAATTTTTATGGTGAAACTCATTTTCCCATTTTGCTCTTTAGTGTAACTTCAGGTCATTTTTTTGGTTCTTTTTGTGCATGTTTGCTCTCTGAAGATTACTTTTTACAATTAATAGTTATACATAGATATATTTTTGAAAATTATATCACATTTTTAACTTCCTGTAAAAAGGAAATATTTTAAAATCCTGTTAACCAAAAGCTATTTTCATCAATCGAAGAGTCAACCTTATTTTTAAAATATGGATTATTCTTATATATTTTTATTTCTTTTCTGATATTAAATATATTAGTCTGATTAATGAAGTGTGCTTATGTGCATTTTATTTGTATTTAAAATTTAAAGACACTAAATTATTTACCTAAGAGTATCGAGTGAGCTGGTGACAGGTTCAGGCTGGGTTATGACGTGAATTTTGTTTTTAGTCACTGCCCAATTTTCTACACTTTTTCCTGTAGAATTCCCATGGCTGTTTTCACGGCCCTAAAGAAAATCATTACATGGTTTAGAAGAGAAATCAATGTTTTTATTTGTTTACATCAAGTTTAATGGTGTTTTAGATATATATTTTTGATATTCTACATGTGTTCATACATGATGTAGAAACCCTTGGAATACCACCTATATTTTAAGATGATAAAGACTTTTGGTGGATCTTACTCTAAAGAAAATAAGTCTAAACAACATTTTTTCTTAATTTTTCAACGTCTAGTATCTTGAGAATGTGTACAAAGAATGGATAGAAATAATTGTACCTTATATTTAAGAATACTTTGCACTCTTGAAATATTTTACTTGTACATTTGCCTTTTGTCCTTCTCAAACTGTGCTGAAGGATAGACTGTGTTTTTTTCTGTCCAAATTTTGCTACTCATTCTCACTTATAAAAAGCTTTTATTTTATTTTTCTGAACTACACACACATACTATTGAAACTCAGCTTTCTTTTTTTTTTTTTTAATTGTTGAAAGTATTGACACTCAGCTTTCTAAAGTTACTAAATCCTAAAGTCATTTTTTATTCTTCCTTCTCCTTGAACTCTGTAGCCTTTTTATACTACAGGTCGCTCCTCTTCCTCAGTCTTCATAATTGTGTTCTGATTCTTTTGCCTCTGAGGCTATTCTTTCTCTTTCATTTATTCCTTTGTCCAGCTCATTAGTAAAAGTCTTAAATGCAATCAGCTCTCTGCTTTTTGTGCTGTACAATCCTTTTTCATGGGTATTTCAACCTCCCTCATTGTTTCAGTTTCTTCTCTACCTGAGTGACCTATAATGTTGAAGTTGGAAGATATAATGCTTTGTATAAACATTTAGTTGCATCTTCAATGACTGTTTACATCATCAGTTGATTGGTATTATCGTCTCACAGTAATGCATCATAAACTCATCATTTTCTTCTCAGAAGTAGCTCTTCCTCCAGAAGTTCTGATCATATTCAAGAAACATTTATTAAGACTACATATTGTACCCTGGCCAGTGTGACTTAGTTGGTTGGAGCATTGTCCCGTACATTGAAAGGTTTTGGGTTCTATTCCTGGTCAAGGCACATACCTAGACTTCGGGTTTGATCACCAGTCAGGGCGTATACAGGAGGTAACCAATTGATGTTTCTCTCTCTCTCTCTGTCTCCCCCCCCCCCCCTTTTTTTTTATCTTCTTCTCTGTCTCTCTAAAAGAAAAAATCGATGGACATGTCCTTGAGTGAGGATTATAAACAAAAGACTATAAACATATGATTCCTTTTATATGAAATGTCCCAAATACGCAAACCTATAGAAACAGAAAGTAGATTGATTAGTGGCTGTCTATGGCTGAGAGTGGGGTGGAGAGTGGCTGCTAATGGTTATGGAATTTCTTTTGGGATGATGAAAATGTTCTACAATTAAGTTGTAAAATGGTTATATTCACAATACTATGAATATCCTAAAAACCATTAAATTGTACACTTTTCAAGGCTGAATTATATAGTATACAAATTTTACCTTAGTGAAGCTGTTTTTTTTAAAAAAAGGAACAATTATTAAATAGCTAGTATGAAGCGAATGCTTCCATTACTTTTGTAGTCACTTTCCTAGATGCTTTTTTTTTTATCCTAACCCAAAGACATTTTTCCATTTTTTGTTCAGACACAGTGGGAGGGAGAGAGAGGGAGAGAGAGAGAGAGAGAGAGAGAGAGAGAGAGAGAGAGACAGACAGACATCGACGTGAAAGGGACACATCGAGTGGCTGCCACCCGCATGACCAACCAGGGCCGGGGCCAAACTGCAACCAAGGTATGTGCCCTTAGCGGGAACAAACCGGGTCTCTCTGGACTGCAGGCCGACGTTCTAACGCTGAGCCAAACCGTCCAGGGCCCTAGATGCTTTTTAAAAAAACTATCTTTCTGTCCTTCTCTTCCTTTACATTCCCAACCTCAGCTAATTCAGAATTTTTTTACTAGTTACAGGCTGCCCCCACTTTCTTTAGTCCATTTGCTATATAATTACTATTTTAATCTAGGAAAAAAAAACAACCAGCCCAGCACTCTGAAGATTTTTGGAGGGGACATGGGGTGGGGAATGGGATTGTGGTGATTGTGGGAAGTAGGGCTAGTCCTTTTCACAGCTCCTGGATTCAGACTTTCTACTCTAGTCAAACTGTACTCTGTACTCAGTTTCTTAGATTCATCATGTACCTTCCTTTGCCCCGTTCTTGTTCATGCTGTGCTTCTTAACTTTCAGGTTGCTTCATCTTCTCTACTAGTGTTCTTTCAAGAACTTTGCTCAAATCTTCCTGCCTCTTCCACACAGTCTTCCTCTTACCCCATGCCTTAGGGATTATGTCATCCTCCATTTTCTTGGGAGCTTGCTATCTGTATTACACACTATGGAATCTGAGCACAAGCCACTTTATGTACCATGTAGTGTACATTCTGGGTACCCAGCCTGTTAAACTCCTCCACAGTGAACATGTTGGAACCACACAACTCAGGTTGAATTTCTTGTACCTTCTCATACAGCTGTGTGAACTGAGGCATGGGACCTAGTCTGTATGCATTCAGGCTGTATTCGTCACATCTAGAACAGTGACTGGCAATAATTGGCATGTGATAGGCACTGAAATATATGTTGAATGAATAAAGAAATGAGAATAACTGCTACTACCATAGGGCTTATGTGAGGATTAAATGAAACAAGGAATATGAATTGCATAGCCTCAATTAAAATTAATATTCTTTTCTGATCTTTTTGGCCTCCTTATCATGTTATAGTCAGGGTCTAGCTTGATGTGTGCTCTTGTTCATTGGGTGCCTGTTGCAGTCAGTGTTCCATCAGAGAAACAGAACAGAACGAAGATAATTATGGAAAGGAATTGGCTTATGTGGCTTTGGAGGCTGGCTAGGTTAGTCTGAAACCCACAGGGTAGATGGTCAGGAAGGGTTGGAAACTCAAACAGAAGCTGAAGCTCTAGTCCACAGATGGGATTTCTTCTTTCTCAGAGAAACTCCAGTTCTGTCCATAAGACCTTCTAACTAATTGGATTAGGTCTACCCAGATCATTCGGGAACTCTCCTTTTGTCAAAGTGAACTGATTATGGGTGATGATCAGATATGCAAAATACCTTCACAGCAATATCTAGATTAGTGTTTGATTGGTAACTGGAGTCTATAGCCTGACCATTATAACTTCTCTTTGGACAATTCCTTTATTATTCCAGATGTATCGTTAGGGGTGCTTTATAAAACTGGAAATGTAACAAATTGAGAGTACAGTAGAGGGGTATATGGCCAAGTATAGGGAGCACACAGGAGGGACACCTAACTAAGTTTTGGATATCTCTTTTAGTGAGGTCTTTTTGTATTGTCTTGGGTGAGATATCGTGATGAACAGGAGTTATCTAAGTAAAGGAAAAGGGGAAGGGAGAGGATAAGTAGGTACCAGGTAGCAAGGACACCATTTTCATATCTAGTTGTGGGGAATAACATGGCATACTCAGGGAATTAAAATGAGCTGGAAATGGATGGGAAATAAACTTGGTGCCTGAATTGTGCAGGGAGAAAAGTGGGCTGTTGGTGGTGGAGGAGAGGTAAAGATGAGGCCAAACACATAAGTGTAGTTATATACTCTATAGGTCTTGTAAACTAGGAAACTTTGTTAAGAAATTTGGGTCTTCTCCAAAGAGTGGTGGTGAGCCATAGCAGAGGTTCAAAGAAGAAAGTAGTTGAATTGATCCGATTTGAGCTTTATAAAGACAGATTTGGGGTTTGTGGGGCACTGATGTGGTACTTGGAGAAATTAAGACTGGGAGACAAGCTAGGAAGCTGGTTAGTACTGATGGTGGCCTAAACTAAGAAAGTGGCAGTGTAAAGTAACTGCAGTAAGGGAAAATGAGCAGATAGTGATTGATTCGACCTGGTCCTGGAAGTGGGGGATGAGGGAAGACTCAAGGATGACACTCAGGTTTGTAGATGGTGGGTCATTCAGGAAGAAAGGACAGGGAGAAGAACAGATCTGAGCATCAAGATGTTTTTAACTTTGTATGTGGAGAGTTTAACATTCTGGTGGGGTCTTATCACTTGCTAATCTTTGGATATATAAATTGGGAGCAAAGAAAAGAACTTTAGGCTGGATTTCCAGATTTGAGAAGTATTAACCTCTTGATATAAATGAAGCCTAGAAAGTGAATATAAAGTGAGAAGAGGGTCTAGGGTATAATACTCCCAGCATTTAATCTACTGAGCAAAGAATGTGGAAGGAATTTTAACCAGCAGTGTGGTGTTGGGGAATGTGTGGCACAGATGATTAATGGAGTCAGAGTGTGGAGGAAGTGTTTACTTTGCAGCTGCTGTGTGCAGCACTCTGATGTCTTCGACCTGCAGTGTTTTCCCCCAGGTGACACTTCTTCAGGATCCAGTTACAGGAAAAGAAAAGTTTTAGAGCTGTGCTTGTTGTATGCCAGGCATTCAAAAGAAATATGACTGCTACTCAAATAAATGTATT